GCTTTCCAAAGCCGTTAGGATAGGGCATCTTTTGGAAACAATCTATACTCAGTACTAAAATAACTAATAAAAAATAAATTTATTTCTATTACTTTTAATTCTGAATTTCAGGCTCCAGTGGAGAATAAAATTTGTCAGTGAACGTTACTTGCTGAAAACCTGTACTCTGGGAACAATCAAACTGTAGTGAGTAACTGCAAAATCAAAGGCATCTTTAAAAAGTTAAGGGGTTGCAGGAAGATGTTAATAAAAATCATTAGGAAATGTGATTTATTTCAATGTGCTCTTCTAGGTCGGAGTTTTGAGGTGTTCAGGCAATGCTCATATTAATAAATTTTAATGCCAGTCAATACTATAAATATAATAATAAATACTATATATTGTACATACAATAAATTCATATATGTAATTATACATATACAATACATAGATAATACATATACAATGTATAAATAATATAATAATAAATAAATACATATACAATTCGTATAATAAATACTACAAATACAGTAAATGCCAGCCTGTATGAAAGAGTCTGGAAATGTCAGAGAAATAATGCATCCTGCAGCCTCGGCTCTGGGAATTATGGAGAATCACTGATTGGCACCCTCTTCCTTGATAGATAAGAGTTTAGGACTTGGACTCTGAAACTCTTAAGGCCGGGGATTTAGGGAGAAAAAGGGATTTTAGGCAGAGGAAACTGCACTTAGTTTGTCTGCTGTGATTTTTCCTTTCTCAGGAAATCAAGAAGTGATATAGAAATAGGAGCTGTTGCATTTTTGTGGTGCTTCAGTGCCTTGAAAAATCTACTGTTAGGCTTCCACGTGTCTTCCCCCTGTCCCCCATCCCCATTTTGGGTTTTTTTTTCCCTCTCCCTGCTGAGCAGAGGCGGGCTCCTGGTGCCCGATTGTCTTCCTGCAGTCACGGGGGAGGCGCCTGTGAAAGCCTTTGGGACACGATGAGTCCCGCGGTGAGATGTCCCCCGCTTAACCTCAGAGAGCTTTGGACCTGGCACTCCTGCGCTATTCAGGGACAGCTTAAAAGCTCTCATAAACTTAAGCCTTGCAGTAAAATGCTTGTTTTCCAGTTACCCTTCACAGAGCACTAAAAAATAACCCAGGGAAGGCCTGTGCCCTTCTTGGTGTGACCTGAAACCCCATTAGTTACCAGTATTTCCACTTTTGGGGGGGCCAGCGGTATGTCAGCTGCTTAAGCTTGAAGGACTATGATTCTATTGCTTAGGGACAGGGTTTAGTGGTGGGATGGCAGTGTTAGGTCAACGGTTGGACTCGATGACCTTAAAGGTCTTTCCAACCCAAACAATTCTATGATTCTATGACAAGCGAGGACGGCCGGGTTGAGCACAGCCCTCCCTTGGCTCCATCTGGGCTCCCATGGGTGGGGGCGCTTCCCTTCCCCAGCTTTTCTGCATCCTCTCCCCAGCTTTCTGCTCCCCCCAGCATGCTGGTTTCCAGCTCTCCTGGAGAGGTGCCCGGTGTGCTTTGGCTTCATCTTCTCTGATTCTTTTCTTCAGCCATAGTGCTAAATTCTTGATTAATTATATTTCCTTTGCAGCAAATCCTATAAACACCATGGTACAAAAAAAATTAATTTATTACAGTGCTTTCGAGCTAATTGGCTGAGATATTAAGACAGTGGCAACTTTATAATTTAACAGCTAATTCAAATAACCTTTTCCAGAGAGAGACCTTAGGTGGCTGCTTTTCCTGGGTTGTAACAATAAATGAATCCTCGAGGCGATCGTTAGTACTTGTTAGTACTTAGGAAGGGGGAATGTGCTGTAGCCGCCCTGCAGCAGAGGTTGTTTTTTTTTTTTTTTTTTTGAATGAAAGTTAGCATCTTGGTAATTTCTAGAATAAAACCCCCTGCCCCACGTTGTTGAGTTTGCTTTACACGTGTGTTTGCAACCCGCTCTGTTGTGTCGAGATGCTTGCCTGACAGCTCTCTCCTGGTACGTTCGCTTACATACCTCCCTGGCTTCTGCGAGCGGGTTGTTTCCCGGCCATGTTCTCCCCTTTACTTTACAGCTGCGAGTTTCTCAGGAGGGCAGTCTGTGCCGTGTGCTGCTGCTCGGTCTGGTCCTTAGCGAGTCTGCTGGAGCGGGTGAGTGTCCCTGCCTCTTCCCTGTGATACCGAGGTTGATTTCCGTGTCCAGTAGCCACTCGCAGCACAGGGAACAGTCCCCAAATCCCGTTGAATTTGCTGCCTTTGGAGGTCTCAGTTAACAGGGTGGGCTCAGAAAAGTGGCTGGTGTTGTCCTTTTTTTGCCTTACAAATGGATCTGCCTGACTTCCATGAGCAGATCCGACTCTGTACCTTGGACCCAGATGTTCCCTGCTGGTGCGGATGCAGTCCTGTGCCCTGGACCTGCCTGGTCTCACCCCTTAGATTATTTCCCCGGTAGATGCAGTCTGGGTTAGCGTCGCCTTCTCCAGCACTGCAGGGTGAGCCTGGCATCCACAGAATGACCCAAGGCAGATGCTTTTAGGAAGGTCCCTGTAATTGTTTCATTTCCCATAACCTGCAGTGCCAAGGCTACACAGGGTACCTCCAAGGCGCGTGTCATGGGTGGTTTGAACCGAAACGAGTTGGGGAGAGATAATAGCCTGGCCAAAGGTGCTCATTGCTCTCCATCAACCAAGAAATCTTCCCAGTGAAGAGGGAATTGGCCTTTTCCTTCCCACTGGGTTTTTTTCCAGCACCGCCTGCAACTGTACCGTGGGGGCTTGGCTGGGACACTAAGGCTTCACGTGTGTCCTGGCTGCGCTTGCAGAAGGCTTGAGAGGTTGGGTGAAAGGCGTTGAAGTTGTTCCATGCTGAGCATTTCATCTATATTTAGGGAGGAAAAGGAAGCACTTAACTACCAGCTGCAGATCCACTAACAAGGGTTATATTGGAGAAAAATAGTCCGTCAGTTTATTTCCTTCCTGCCTTGCAAATCATGTGGAGAACGCAGGCTGTCCTTGCGATCCCGCATCCCAGATCCAGAATTTGGATCGCGTTCTCTGCCTATTCCCCCATCAGTTGCCCAGTACTTGTTACAGCGCAAGAGGAAAAACAAAGTTAGGTTGTGCTTCGTGTCAGAAGGTCAGCAAATAGGTGCAACCCCCCTGTGCCCGCAGCAGGCGCCGGGGATGGGGTTACCCCCCAGCTGAGGATGAGGTGTCTCAGTAGCCAGAGCACAGCCTTAGTGCAGGCCTAAGTACAAAATAGTGTTTTCTGAAGGGGTTTTTTTTTTTCTTTTCTTTCCATTGTCTCCTTCCAAATAAGAAGGTAGCTCTGCTGTGCTTGATCTGTTAGTTATTAAAAGAAGATCACAGTTGTGCTAAAGTAATCCGTTTCTCATCCATCGGAATTAAAACTGGATGCAGTCCTGGCTTTAATTGGCAGATGAGATGTTCTGTTCTGCAGTGGGCAGGGATTAGAAAAAAAATAAATCTGCAATAATGAATCTTTTCTTTAGAATAACTCACGCAGGATTAGATGTAATAAACAGAAGCAGTTGCAGAGGAGCAGTCCCAGGGCACAGGGCCGTGCAGCGCTGGTGAGGGTTGGCGGTGGTTTGTTGTCACCTTTTTATTCCGCTCCCTTGGAGAACGCAATAGCGAGTCCCCTTCCCAGGCGTCCTGGGTGCCAGTGTCGGAAGGGGTTTCATCTGCCATGACATGTCGGATTGCTCATGAGCACTCATTTAAGTCACTGACTGTGTAACTGCAAGGCTACTTCCTTGTTTCCATCTAAAATTGATGGAAACATCTGGTACTATCCATAGATGCTGTCTGCAAAGTTTCGGGCGGGTTTAAGGGGTCATGGGGCAGATTTTTGTTTAGCCCCATGGACGTGGGATGTAGCGAGGCTCTCGCCTCTGCATGCCTGGTGTCCTGTTGGACTCCAACCTTCTATTGCACCCATTTGTAACTCAATAACCAGCTTCATCTTAATTTCTTCCCCCTAATGCCTGAGGTTACAACTGGTAATTAAAAAGAAAAGGTTTTTTCGCTTTTTAACAAGCAATATGACCCTGTTAAGAGTAATTTATCTACAATATTCCTCCTCCTTTTCCTCAGTGACTCTAGTTCAGCCACTTCCACTGTCGAACAAAGGGAGCCTTAAATAATTGTGAGCCTTAATTAGGTGAGAAACTGTGTGTAATAATTCAATTAATTATTTGTTTGTCTTGGAGAGCTTCATACTGGCAGGTGGTGAGACTAGACATGGCAGTTGTATGTGATGGGTTTAATAATACCCCGTGTGAAAATGTAGAAGCTGTTTTGTTTACTGGGACGATGGGCTGTCTTCAAATTTAAATGATGGAGCTCAGGACTGGAGCCATCAAGATCATTTTTTCCAGCTGTCTGTTTGATGTTGTGCCCAGAGAAGTGGCTGATGGTGGAGACTGGTGGTAGGGAACCGGTAGCTGAAAGCTGCCACACTGCAAGTCTGGGGTGGTAGCTGATTCCCAAGCAACACCCCTGATGTGGCATCACCCTCTATTTAGACATCTCCTGTTTCAGGTACCAGTGGTCTTAAATGCTTCTAAGCCAAGCGACTGTGCGAAGCAGAGTGGAGTGGGAAGATGTGATTTTATTTTTCAGAAGGGGAATCATAAAGGTAAAGACTGGCAAGGCAGCTGTGGCAAGAGTGGAATGAACCTGTGTGTCCCAGCTTCACCCTTGGCTGTTGCGGTGTTTAAATTCCTGCAGCCTGCAAGAGCCCAGCTGCACTGTCTAGACAGTTTGTGAGACTTCAGTCTGTCCACGATAGAAAATCCAGATGTGTGCGGTAACCCAGCAAATGTGTGGATGTGGTTCACAGTGCGATTCTCTGCAAGCTTTGTGCTGTTTCTTTAGGGCCAATCCGCTGCAGCAGACCTGAGCTCTGAAAGTGTCCCCTGGGCTCTGTAAGGGCCCCCTGGGTTCTTTGGTTACAGTGAAACAGTAAGGGGAAATAAAAGGGATGATGATGGGTGTTAACTCTTGCCCTGCCACGTGGCCGGTTGTGGTCAGCATAAAAAGTAGCCGGGATGGATTTATTTTTGTGTTTGCATATTCACATATGCGTATTCATGTGTGAATTCATGTACACATATATGAACATTCACATATCTCTCTGCAGACTGATGAAGTTTGCAGTACTTTGAGGCTGCTGAGTTGTTCCAGCTGCTACCAGGGGTTCTAAGGCAAGGAGCATTTCTACTACAGATATTTTTTTTTTTCCTCAAACTATTCTTAATATAAGCCCTGTAGTCTGCTCATGTGGGATGAGTGGTCTTCAGTGACCCTGTGGGCTCCTTCGCCCAGAGACACAAGGGCAGGAGGCTGCACGGATGCTTGCAAACCCCTTTTTGAGCTACAGGACCATAGATATGTAAGCATGGAATTAAAAATAAATAAATCTGCTTAAGACCTGTGCACAAAGCTGTGCTTCATCTCTCCAGAACGATGCTTTTCCTTAGCAGCCAAAGGATATATTTAAGCTCAGCAAAGAAAGTATTTGAAGGAAAGCCACTGCAAAACAGACTGAGGATATCCTGGCTGCTTCTCCAAAGATAACTCAAAGATGAGTTTTCTTCTTGGGAATAAATGGAGTGAAGTGGTGGGGGTTGGGTTGTTTTTTTTTAAAATCCCTTGGTGTGTTTGAACACTCAGGCAGCACAGGGTCTGGAATATTTCAGGCTCTGAATGCATAACTTCCCATAAAAAAAAATGTGCACAAAATTATTTTGGTTTTGGTTTTGGGGGTTTTTTTTGGTTTGTTTTGTGTTGGTTTTTGGTTTTTTGTTTTTTTGTTTTTTTTTTCCTTAAAGCAACCCCATGCCTGCAACATCCAGTGCATCTTTGCAGCCCTGGGTCGCCAAAGCCATGGGCAGCAGCGTCGCTGCTGGCACTTGGGAGCTGGTTTGTGGGTGGCAGCTGGGAGAAGCTGTGGGGACAGGGCTGGATCCATCCTCTCCGTGGGGAGGGCAGACAGGGAGCAGGGTACCCGGCAGCACAGCCCCTGTGTGAGCTGTCAGTGTGCTGCTTGGCTGGGATTTTGTGCTCGGGCAGGGAGAAGACTTAATCATTTCTGAATGTCTAAGAGCCGAGCTTGCAGTTGGGTTTAACTCGTGTTTTGGGATGGGAAGCATTGGACCTGCTGGCCTTACAGAAGCTGAGCTGCTGACACTTGCTTTTGCAAAATGCTCCTTTAATGTCTCGTGCTTTCTGCAAACCAAAATAAGCATCGGCTGAAACATTTGGCAAAGTCAGGTTTTAAAATGCTGGAAATGATAAATAGAAAAGCCCTCAGAGGAGCAGCGGGCCCTCCTGCATGATGCGACACCAGTTTCTGTGCCTCCCTGCAATGGAAGCATGCACCCCTTTCCCTGCTTACCACTGATTTTATTTTTTTTTTTTTTTTTGCATCGTCTTAAAAACTACGCCTGAAACTGCTGCATTCAACCATTAAACCCTGTGCATCTGCCCGGGGAAGAATCCATTTGTTGGACTCTGTGCCCTCAAGTAATTGAAGAGCAGCTGTTGCAAGACCCAAAGCTCTGCTTTCTCTACCCAGTCTTCCCTCTGCTCTTCAGGGATGCTGCATTGCAACACAGCTCATCAGAGAAAGGTTCCCTGTGGGTCCTCTCCCTGTCGGGGATGGGCTCTGTCCTTCCAACCCAGGGTTTGCTCTGTGAGAACGAGGTCTGCAAGGAGCTGCAGCGGGCTTTGCTCCACTGCTCTGCTGTATTCTCTTACATAGCCCATAGCCCTTTCCTGAAAATACATTAATTTTAAATTTTTTTTAGTGAAAGACCCGAGTGAGTGGATGAAGAGGAGCCTCCTCGTTTCAGTGTGTTTTTTCTCTGAAGAAAGTATGAGATTATCCTTGTTAGGACAAACTAATGGATTTTTGGTTGACTTCCATTTTTCAGTGTTAGCGTTTCACGTGCCACCATCTCTGCTTCTCTCCTATATTTTATCCCTTCACAGAAACCCTGTATTTATTTCTGGAAATTATGCATGTCTGGAGGAAGGTAGTAAATTGTACTACTGTATTGTCCTCAATACACACACGCAGTTTTTTACCCCCAAAAAATTGTTTATGCAAATATGTTGATAAGAAAAGAAATCTGTCATGTGGCTCTTCCCCTTCATGACTGCTGATGGGTTGCTGTAGCAAGAAGCTTCTCTCTCTGCAGTTGGAGCGGCTGTAAACCTACTGCAAAAGATAATTTGGAGAGATTTCCCATTCATACCCACTCTTGTGAGTTATAAGAGAAAAAGGAGGTGTTGGCCATGCTCTGTGGATGCTCCCAGGTAACTTGGTTCTGCATTCCCGCCCTGGCTTCTGCTTCTCTTTGCAGTACATATGTTAGTGTTGTATAGGCTGGTTGAGGGATGGGCCGTGCCCGCGGACGCCACAGCCTCGGGCAGGCAGCTCCGTCCTTTTGCCCTGTGGCTCCCCTGGGCCAGCCGCGCCATTCCTGGCAGAGCTGTGTAACCCCTTGGCAAACGTCCCCAGTGGGGGCCCAGCGTCACACCACCTTTCTGGGCTCAAAGGCCATCACCGGTTTCTTCTCATTGCCTTTGCCTCTCCTTTTCCCCGCCTTGATGCCTGCTGGGGGCCATGCTCCTCGCCCGGGCCGTAGGATCTGCAGAAGTCGGGCAGGTTTTGCATCACTGTGCACCAGTGCCGTGGCCGTAGGGAGCGGTTGGTGGTGGGAGCTGGGGTCCCTGGGAGCACGGCCTCCAAGGGGAAGGCGTGTGCTGGCTTGGGGAGGGTGAGTTTGCATTTCCAGACAAACAGCCTGGCTTCAGAGCCAGCTGAAAGAGTTTTGTTACTTTTTTTATGATGCTAGCTTTAAAAAAAAAAAAAAGAAAACCAAACAAGGGAAGGGTTTCAGCCATTTGTCTTTTTTTGATTTATTTATCACCTTAAAAGACTTAACCAGGTAATGAAAAATTCAATAAAAAACCTGACTGCATTAGTCTGAAATACCACTGATGCTTAGCATTGGCTCGCCTGTTATATGGGTGCTGTGAAACTATTCTGAGTCTTAAATTGTCTGTTATCTGTGGAATAATCACAAAATGGTTAAAATAAAATCTGTAAATCTTGCGGGCAATTGAGGCTGTTCTCCCCCACCCCATTTTTGTCCATGTTTTTTATTCCTCAGCAGAAGTAATTGCTTCCCATGACACACTTAAAGGATTGCTCCCATTTCTTTGTGGTTTATAGCTGTGCTATTGCAGCACTAAAAATATTTAATATTATTTAATCTGCTTTTGTAGTGCAGGCAGCCTTCATTTGGTTGTTCTGGTGGGAATGGTATCGTCACCTCAGTCCGCAGCGTGCGGCTTCCAGCTCTGTTGTGTCGGGAGCTGCACATTCCAATGAAGTCAAATTAAATAGCTGGAAAATCTCACTTTGACCTGGCCGAAGTTCAGGGTGCAGAGCAATGCACGTGGCTTGTGCGAGCCTTCGGGCCAGCCGCTGCCTCGCTCGCTCCCCTGCGCGCCGCCTCCGGTGGCCACTGAAAGCTTTGCTGCCCAGCTCCAGGTGACCGGGACTTTTGGGGGCTGGTGCTGGGAGATCTTTGATCATGTTTCCTTCTGCCACTACCCTCATCAAAGGTCACTGGCACTGCGGAAGGAGAGCTGATGGGGGTGAGATGCAGCCACGGCATGATATGGGGGGAAAAACATGAGTTTGCTTCTAAAAAGAGAGAAACCATCTGATTGTGTCCCAGAAACTCCTGTCAGGCTCTCATCCCTATACAAGACAGCTTCTGCCCTCGGCTGGGCAGCGACAGTGTTATGCCAACACTGAAGCTGCTGGGGATGATGAAAGCACTGGTAGTGACGCCATGGGATGGTGGTTTTTTGCCCATCGTTGCCAGTTAAACCGGTTGTGAGTGCAGCTGCATCACTACTGACTGGCTTGAGACAGCGATGGTCTGAGCAGGGCTTTTTCTGGAAATAGCCCAGAAACAGTTCTCAGTATCTCCGGCGGGTGATAGTACGCTGGTTTTGTGTGGTTTCTAGCTTGAAGATACTGGAGAGGCAGAATCAGACCAGTGTTTGGGTTGGGGGGTGTGGCTGCAGTCCATACCCTCATTTCTACTGGTCAGGGTGGCACTGGTATCTCCTGTGGTTTCGGGGCTCTTGCTGAGCTGCTCTTGGCTACAGGGTTAATGGCTCGTTGCAAGCTCCCCCTTCCCTCCAGAGATGAGCTGGTTTTCAGGGAAATGGGCTTTACCCATCGCCTATTCAGCTGAGTTCAAGCCTTGGCAATGGTTTTGTTCTTTCTGTGCTAGGTTTCTCTTAGATGCCCTCAAGGCTCTCTAGGGACCTGCCTGACGTGGTAGGAGCGCTCCATACCCATTGTGGGAATAAGCTCAACAGCTTGTGTGCTGAACAACTCTCCCATGTGCTGTGTGTGTGAAAGGCTTTGCTGGATCCTGGGGGCTGGGAGGGGTGGGGTTTGCCCTTAATTTGTGTGAGAATTTGCTGAGCGTTGGTGAATCAAATCTGGGGGGACTGGGGAGTTTTCCACATGGTGTGGACTCGTCACATAGCACCTCCACGCTCACCGGGAGCGAAGTTCAGGTCTCCTGAGCCTGGATCCTCTTTGAGACCTGCTGCTTTCCAGGCGAGACGTCATTTCCTCTGCTCTTGCTTTACTTGCGGCCATGCACACTGGAAAGGCCATGTCACCGTGGTGAAACGTGGCCTCCCCCTTAGCGTATGAAGAACGAGCACTGGGTGAGTTTATTTACGGCGCGACTTGTTCCCCGCTGCTCTGGCTCTGCAGCCTCATGTCTCCGCTCCGTGCAGAAGATGACTCCTGCAAGAATTCTCTGTAATTACGCAGGCAGCAATAGATTAGCATTAGCAAGGTTTGATTGCAAAATTTTGCAGGTATCAGCAGTTTTTCCAACCAAAAAAGCTTTTAGCTCTTGGGCAGAAAGTCAAGTGCCATTTTCAATGTGTAGCCATCAGGGTTTTTTTTTTTAAAAAAAAAAAAAAAAATCCAAAACAAAACAGGGACTCAGTCTGTTTTCTTTTTTTTTTTTTTCCTTTTTTTTGTGGATGAAATGCATAATAAGCTCTTAGCCCAGATAAATCCTAGTTGAGGATTCAGTCAGGGCTGTTGCTAAATTAGCAAAGCAGGTCTGCTAGACAAATGCAGCTTCAGCTTGTCAAAATAAGTAATTTTTACAATTTTCACACGGAAAGAGGATTCATGTCATTAAACCTTTTTATCCTCCCCCATTCCCAAACACAGCTCTCTTGCCCCTTTCAAGTATCACCCAAATCCATCCCAAGTACCACAGCACACGGATCTGGTGTTGGTCCCATAGTATTTTGCCAAGCTGTGGCTGCCTGGGAGTCAGTGTCACAGGCTCCCAACAGGGGCTTTGGTTGCCCTTGGAAAGGTCCCTTCATCCAGGGGTACCTGGGCATTGCTCGCACATGCACATGTTTCTTCCAGGGCTCTTCCATTTCCCCAAACCAAGGTCTTTCAGGTACAGGTGACACCTGGGAAGTGCAGACTCTCCTGGGATGGCTTTGGGATGCACCATGGAAGCATCCCGTTCCTCCTGGCAAAGCGGGGCTGAAGTGCTGGTAGGGACTGGCAAAGCACCCAGCGGTCAAACCCTGGTGGAGATTATCTGCTGGTAGGCAGCACTAGATGACTGAAGTTGTAAGGAATACGGCCATCCTGTATCTGTGTGTGTTGTCAAACCCCTGGATGAAAGGTGGCTCAGAAACAGTAAGTCCTGGGTATTTGTCTGTCTGAACTTCTTTTTTTTTTTTCTGTTAAAGCAGTTACCTTACATTAGCTGCTGGATGGCTGTACCCTGGACCTTAATGTTGCTACAAAATTAAAAAAAGACCACAGCCGGGTAACCAATTTAACGTGCATCCAGCTTGTCTTAGCATAGATGTGGTACTTGGTACTCCTCGTTGCTCCCTGGCTTGGTAACATGTTTCCTTTCCTTCCAGTTCCGGATTGATGGCGAGTGGTGCACCTGGATCAACTACGACCGCTTCCAGGAGCTGGTGCAAGAGCAGGAGAGGAGCGGCGGGGGGCAGACGTTCACAGCAGCTGATTATACAGCCAGAACGCCTCGCTGGGCCCTGTTTGGGTCCAGAGAAAGGGGATTCGATCCCATGGACATAAGATACCAGCGGAAGAACAAAGTGAGAGATATCTCTGGGTGCTGAGGTTAGGCTGGGGCTCACCGAACGCTGAGCTGGCTGCCTGCTGAGGTTTGGTCCCCACTTCTAGGCTGACACTGATTTTGAATCTATTCACCTAGATTTTCCTGACGTTTGGTATTGACAAGGAGGGTAAAAGCCTTTATTTAACCCTTCCCTCCTGGTTTTAGGGCTTCTTGGATGAAAATATTTTTAATGCTCTCTTATCTCAAGATAAGTCACAAATGGTGCATGCCAGCAATGCATCCTAAGTGGTAGCGTGATGAGGGGGAGGCAGTGGCTGTGGTCTCTGCAGTGGAGAGTGTTTAGAGTTGGGTCTGGAGGGGGAGCGTTTGTTTGACTTTTGTGCCCTGCTGTGAGGAGAGCCCAGCACGTGCTGGTATCCAACTTGGCAGCAAAACATTCCGCATCCATAAGGATAAATGCCAAGGGGATTTCAACGCCACAGGCTGGTTGGATCTGTGCAGGTGGAACTGCAGAAGGATCTGGAGCTAAAGCCTGAGCCCTGCTGGAAGTATCATCGTACAGACAGTAAGAAAGATTTATGTATTTGAAACACTTGTGCCAGTTCCTATAAAGACCTCAGCCCCAAGAAGCTGAAGCTTGGGAATGGTCTAAGTAACAGCACTGCTCTTAGTATCATCTGCAACTTCTGATATCTCTCCAAAGATTATCCAACTTCATGGGTTTGGCAATGAATATTTTTCAGAGTAGTTTTATCGCGCTCCTCCAGCAGCCCTAAACAACACACAGAATTCTTCAGAGCCCCACCAGGCTCCCGCCGTGTGCGTCCCCTGTCCTGCTGCAGGTGAGGACGTGCTGTGGGGAGCCACCAGGCCTGGCTGTCAGCAGCTTCTCCCTCACTCCACATGGGCAAGTCAACAGTGTCGCTGCTGCTTTGGCTGGAGGTGGTAATGTGATGCACATGAAAACTGAATGCGGTTGAGATCTCTCGTGTCAACCAGCTCTTAGTTTGGAGAGGTGATGCCTAGGCAGGAGGTCCAGTGGCATGTCCTCGAGTGTTGCTCTTGGAGGCCCAGGGCCGTGCCTGGCACTCCGGAGGTACCGCAGCCTCGCTGGAAAATTGCATTTGAATGAGAGGGAGCTGGATTGTCTTCTGTTGGGAAAATCCCCGCTGCCACAGGCTGACAACCTTTCCCTTTCTGTTTATGCAAGATCTGCATGGGCTGTAGCACCAGTGAGTGGCAAAGGTTCAGTGGCAAACACACGTTTAGACCCAGGGGTGTAAGCTGCTGGTGGGAATGCAAACACGGTCGTGCTCGAGTGTCATTGCTTTCCCACTGGATCTCCAGGAGCAGAGATCAGAGGCATTCACACACTCTCACCTTAATGGTGAGCTCCATAAGCCTGCAATGCCCGGCACCCGCCGCACTGAGGATAGGACTGTTCCTGAGGTTGTGATTATTTTTTTAAAAAGAACCTTATTTCTTCAACTCTAAAAAGTGTTTCTGAAGAAGAAAGAAAATAAAGTAATTTTCCCCAGAGCACCTGTGTTGTCATTGCTGTATGAGACTTTGTAGGATGGGGTGCTGAAGGGATTTTACGGAGATCAAAAGCACAAACATTGCAGAATATCCTCTTTTTTTCTTGGTAGCACCTGGAGTGGAAGGGAGAGCATCTGTGTATCCATGGATGATGGATAAGGCCTGGCCAATGGAGGCTGCTGTAACAGGTTGGTCACCTGGCTCCGCTCCCCAGCGCATGGCATGGAGGTTGGAGGTGGTGAGAAGTCACCAAGCTTCCTCAGGCCAATGCCAGGTAGGACGCAGGTGGCACCAGCAAGCCCTGGGGAGGGACAGGACATTTCCAAGCCATCTGTCCTTCCGATGACAGAAACCTGACACGATAACGCTGCCACACTGCATGCATTGCATCACCGAAGGCCAACCCTGTGCCCCAAGGTATCCACGTGCGTGACTGCATCTGGCTGGAGGCTGAGCTTGGGGTGCCGAGTGTCCCAGCCATGCTGGTGAGACCCTGTGCCCAGGCCACCACATATCATGGCCAGTCTTGAAAGCTGCCATTGGGGTGAGCCAGGCCATGATCACGGTGAGATTCGGTCATCTGGGCTGGTGGTGCTGCTTCCCAGCTAAGACGTGTCTTCCTGTTTCATCCTTTACAGCCCCATTCGTGGGAGCAGGTAGGTATGAAGCTGAGCTGGGAGGGCACCTGCTTATTGCTGCCTTCCACCAGAAAATGGGGTTTTTTTGTGTGCTTGGTGATATATTTTGCTGCTCGGTGAATGGTGGAGAAAAGACAGGGATTTATTAAGGCTGTAAAGCTCTGGGTGAGGGTCTTTGTGTATTTGGGTCAGTGGGGGGCACCTGCCTTCAAGCAAGGTCTCCAAAATGACACTTTGTTTCCTTTCCTGACCATATTTTCACAAAAAACTTCCTAAATCCTTGTGGCAGGTTAGTCACAGGGATTTGAACTCCTTAACAAATGGGGTAGCAAAAGGATGCTCTCCTTTCCCCTCAGGGAGAAGGATTTGCCCTGTTCCCACCACAGCCTCACCAGGGGCAGCCCCATCCTCTGCTCAGTCACTCCTCTCTTCTCTTGGTCACATTTGACGCCATTTAATTGGGCTTTGGGGTGAAGGTTAGCAGCACTGGAAAGCCCAGATGCTCTGTGCTGAAAGATGTGAAGCTGTTAACAGGAAAAAACACATTTACTAGTGAGACCTGTACTCTGACTCCTCTTCTGATGGGGGGGATGCTGTGTGGAGAAGCTGACTTCTCTGAAATTCCCAGTGTTGGACAACACTTGAGTTAAAAACTGTTGTGTTCTGGGCTTATTTTTGCAGAACTAACGCGGTTTGAGTAAAAACATCAGGGGTGAGATGCAGCTACCTGAACACAGATGTTTAGTAAGTGCAGAGAACTCTCCAGCCACCGGCTCGGCTCCGCAAGGCTCTCGGAAGACCTGGCTCACATCTGCGAGCCCGGACAACTCCCACGCTGCCAGAGGTGTGTTTGGTTAGTGGTCTTCTGTTTTCTGATCAGCTGTGGGATTGCTGTGCCCCTGCAGGACCTTCCTGTCGCCAAGTCCTAGGAAAGGGAAGTTGTTTGTGCCACAAGAAGTGAAGGTCCATGAGTGTTTCACTGTCTCCTCATTACCAACCTCCTGTGGGTCTGGTTAACCGAGGTCCTTCGCAGCTTAGGCAAGATGTGAGCTTTCTGGGGGGCTGTTGTTAATCCTGGAGCATCAGTTGCCTGTGGGCGCAGCTGGAGTTTTGGGCCGGCGTGTTTGGTGTCCACCACAACCCACCGCATTCCCCTTCATGGATTCCAGCTCTTCTGCACCTATTCCTGCCTCCTGGGCCAGACACCTCCATCCTGCTCCCACCTCTCTGACAGATGAAGCAGCCCCAATCCCCTGCTCCTTTGCAGCTGAGCTGGTGCTGCCCCAGGAGAGGTGGCCTCTGTGCCAGAGGAGCCCTGGGGCTGCTGCCCTCAAGGGCTGCCACGGTGATGAGCACTTCATGTAAAACACTCCGTAAAACCCTGACAGTGCCCTCCCTTGGAAATCCTAGGGGAGCCCTAAAGAAAACTCTGTGTGTTTTCTCTCAGCTGTGGCATTTGCAGTTTCTTCTCCCAGGCCCCCTTGGGGCACGCAAATTGCTGCTGTCCCCGTCACGCAGGGCTTCACCGGCCATTTGGCTCAGTTGAAATGACTTGCTGGTGCTGTAAGAGGCCTCTTCCCAGTCCTCCCTGTGTCCTCATGTTCACTCCATCCTTCTGATCCTCCCTTTGTCCTTGCGTTCCCTCCATCCTTCTCCTGGTCCTCCTTGTGTCCCCATGTTCCCTCCATCCTTCTCCTGGTCCTCCCTGCGTCCTCGCGTTCCCTCCATCCTCCTGGTCCTCCCCCCGCTGTGCTCCAGGGCATTTCTGTCCTGACTGTGCTGGTGCCCAGTTTGCAGCTCTGGAGATGGGGCTGATGGGGCCACCACCACTGGGGCTTGGAGGAGAGGGCAGTGGAGAAGGACAAGGTGGGTGACCTGCACTGAGGCCAACGCTGTGGCATCCCCACAGGCACTGGCAGCTGAGATGTTGTAGAAAAATCATGATTTCCCCTGCTCATCAGCTAGGGGGAAAGCACAGCCCCCAAATACCCACCCGCTTATCCCCCCTGGGGTCCATCGCACATCTGGAAGCTGCTCTCAGAGCAATTTGGGCAAGATTCGCTCCCGCAATTACACTTGAATTGCCTTGTGCTTAAAGCAAATCTTTCAATGCACGTATCCCAAAGCAATCCTCTTACCCGTGTAGCTTTCAGCTGTACAACCTAACACAAATCGCTGGCTCTAGCTATTTCGGGGCCACGCTAAATTGGAGACCCAGCCAGCCTGTGTCGGTTCTGCTGTAGCTGCAGCGGGGATCGTGCTCGAGCTCTGCTGGGGCTGGGGAGCTTCGCTTCTCCTGGGAGGGTTGGGGTTTTTTTACCTGGCCTCCAACAACAGCATTTCATGCCTCACCTGAAATTGCTGCTTTTAGATTTAAAATAGATTGGCACTCACCAGGGCGCTCGGGTGGGCTGGAGGTTGTGGGTTTTTCACAGAGAAGCTTTAATGGTATGGGATGTGCTCTGAAAAAAAGTGATCTTTAGTTCAGTGAGGTCTTTTCTGTTCTGCCCGAGACCCCAGTCCAGGAAAACCTCTCCAAAGTCCCAGGATCAGCCCATGCTCTTGTGATGGTGATGGTCTGTCCTTCTAAATATACTTGACTCACTAACTGGGTAATGCCAACCCCTTTTCCAAAGGTTTCAATCTGGACCAGAGCCTATGGTGCTGCTGGGGGGCAGGGGCTCTCCATCTGCCTCACTGCCCTCAGGGCTGCCCAGGATCCCC